GCATAATGGGCCAGTGTGTGGCGCTGGCATCTCATACAGACACTAGTGCATATCCCAGCTGTTCCACTTCCAATCTAGCTCCCTACTTATAGCCTGGGAAAGCAGCGGAGGATGGTTCAAAGTTGGGGCCCTGCACCTATGTGGGACACTGAGAAGACACACTCTTGGTTCTTGGGTACAGATCAGCTCAGCTCTAGGCATTGCGGCCATTTAAACAAAGGGAAGAACTTCTCTCTCTCTCCTCTTTAAAAATCAGCCTTTCAAATAAATTAAATTTTTTTTATAGAAGAATCAATAAGCTCACAAAGCCCAAAGATAAATACAAAGACAACCACATTATGGTACATCACCAGGGCATAGGTGCAAGAATCAGGCACAGCAGCAGAGTCTAGAACATTATGGTGCAGTGGGCTAATTACCATCCGCAATGCCAGCATCGCATGTGGACACCAGTTCATGTCATGGTTGTCCCACTCTAATCCAGCTTCCTGCTAAAGGGCTTGGGAAAGCAGTGTAAGAGAGCCTAAATCCTTGCGCTCCTGCATCCATGTGAGACCTGAACGAAGCAAATGGAATCTTTTTCTGTCTTCCTCTACTCCCTCCATCTCTAACTCTCTGTTGAAAATAAATAAAAACAAACAAAAAACTACCTGAATTCCTTACCAGCAGACTTGAATTAAAATACAAAAGGCAGTATTGACACAAATGCAGAAAGGCGGAAAACCACTAGAAAGATGCTTTTGAATGAACAGAAAATAATACTGCTAAAAATATTTGAAAGGGTCTAAGGGTTATGTAGAATCACAATGCATAATATCAAGAACTCAAATGGTGGGCCCAGCACGGTGGCTAAAGTCCTTGCCTTGAACGCGCCAAGATCCCACATGGGCATGGGTTCTAATTCCGTCAGCTCCATTTCCCATTCAGCTCCCTGTTTGTGGCCTGGGAAAGCAGTCAAGGACGGCCCAAAGCCTTGGGACCCTGAAGCCGTGTGGGAGACCCGGAAGAGAATCTGGGCTCCTGGCTTTGGATCAATGCAGCACCGGCTGTTGTGGTCACTTGGGGAGTAAATCACCAGGACCAGAACCGGTGCCCAGATTGAATCCTGGTGCATTCAAGCCCAGCTGCTAGGCCACTGCACTGGGCCCCCAAGGTTATATTTTTTAACACCTTCCACATGACACAAGAACTTTATATTTTAGTCACATTTATTGCATATCTTCTTGAGTTTTCTTTTAAGATTTATTCTTTTTTTATTGCAAAGTCAGATACACAGAGAGGAGGAGAGACAGAGAGGAAGATCTTCCTTGCTTTATACCTGCCTTTCCAATATAAATAAATAAAATATCTAAAATACAACAATATAACCTTAGCATCCATGCTGTAATCTCTAACATATCCACTAGAAGAACAGTAAAAAAGATTTGTAAGAATAGGGGAAATACAAAACAATAAAATCTCATATTAACCTATCAGAAGGCAAGAACAGAAAAAAGGATAAAATCAAGGAAACAGAAAACAGTAATATAGTACAAATCAACTCAAATGGACTACTCTGTCAAGGAAAGACTAAAATCAGATTCAATTCTCCAAATAGTCACTAATATGCTGCTTTCAAGGACAGGGAATATGATCCAAAAGAAAGCTGCAGGATCAATGCAAACATCAGAAATGGCATTACTAATAACTACCAACAACAGAAACTTTTCACAATGATAAAAAGTGCAACAGTTCTACATGCATCCACTTACTAAGTTTCAAAATGCATGAGGCAAACAAATAACTAGAGGTCCAAGTATAGTGTAAGAATGAACACCTTACACCAGTAATAAAACAAGCCAACAGAAACATGAGAGGAAACATTCTGAACATCATCTAACAATGCGCTCAATAACAAATTACGCCTTTTAAAACATGTACGTGGCACATTTAACAGACGGTACTAGATGCTAGGTAAAAGACAGCCTCAACATATTCCAAAGGACGGAACTCATTTGCATTCACAGTAAGCTACTGTACTGTATTAGGTTCAAAATCAGTTAAAAAAAAAAAAAGCAAATGGAACATTTGGGAAATAAGATGGCAGATTTAAAAAACATTTTAATAATTACCTTCACTGTAAAGTTTACATGCTCCACGGGCTGGCAACATGGCATAGTGTGTAAGGCTGCCACATACAAGCACCAGAACCCCATCTGAGCACCGGGGAAAGCAGCAGAAGGTGGCATAAGTGCCTAGGCCCTAAGACCCATAAAATTCCTGGTTCTTGGCTTCAGACTGGTCCAGATCCAGCCACTGCGGCCATCTGAGGAATGAACCAGCAAATGGAAAACTTCTTTCTCTCTCTCTGCCTCCCTCTCCACCCTCATAACAATGCCTTTCAGATAAGTAAGAATAAATTTAAACAAAGAAAGGAACAATCCCAGGGACCAGCCATATGGCACAGTGGATTGAACATGCTACGAGTGCCAGTTCAAGCCCTGGCTGCTCTACTTCTGAGCCAGCCTCCTACTAATGCATCTAGAAAATGGCATTGGGTCCCTGCACCTATGTGGAAGACCCAGAAGGAGTTTTTGGCTCATGGCTTTGGCCTGGTCCAGCCCAAACTTTGGAATCCTTTTAAGTAATGAGGCAGAAGATGGAAAAACAAAAGCTTTTTTAAAAAATTTTATTTGAAAGGTACAGAGAGGTGAAGAGATAGAATCCACCACGTGCTGGTTCACTTCCCAAACAGATGCAATGGCCAGAACTGGGCCAGACTGAAGCCAAGAACCTGGAACTATTTTTCAGTTCTCCCATGTGGGTGACATACTTGGATCCCCTCCCCTCCACTAGTTTTCCCAGGCACATGAGCAGGGAGCTGGATGGAAAGTGGAGTAGCTGGATCTTAAACTGGCACCCATATGGGATGTCAGTGTTGCAGGCACTATGCCACAATGCTGGTTCCAATTACCTTTTAAATCAATATTTTAGAAAAGAAAATGAAAAAGCCCCAATATATATTGTTTGTAAGAGAAACATCTAAAACAGGGATACACTCAGGTGAAATCACAGTGTTAAGCAGTAGGTTCTATCAGAGAAATTCTAGCAAAAAGGATATTACACTAAATGTCTCATAAAAATGGTCTTTAAATTGGCAAAAAAAAAAAAAAAAAAGCAGTGTCAAAGACCCTCTATAATGATTTAAAAAATACTAGTTCACATGGAAAATATAAGGAAATTGAATCTGTGGGCCCGGCGGCGATGGTCTAGTGGCTAAGGTCCTCGCCTTGAACGTGCCAGGATCCCATATTGGTGCCAGTTCTAATCCTGGAGGCTCCACTTCCCATCCAGCTCCTGCTTGTGGCCTGGGAAAGCAGTCGAGGAAGGCCCAAGGCCTTGGGACCCTGCACCCGCCTGGGAGACCCTGGAGAGCTCCTGGCTCCTGGCTTCGGATTGGCGCAGCATCGGCTGTTGCACGCACTTGGGGAGTGAATTATTGGACAGAAGGTCTTCCTCTCTGTCTATCCTCCTCGATGCATATCTGACTTTGCAATAAAAATAAAATATATCTTAAAAAAAGAAATCTGAATTTGTGTACACCTAATAACATGATTGTAAGGTGTATTAAGCAGTAAACATGCACAACCTGAACTGAATTGTAAGACAAATCTAAACCTAGGAAGTATGCACGGTCATAAGACACAAAGACCGATCAACTTTAAGCACTGGGGCTCCATCTCTGGCTGTTGGACTGCTGGCAGCTGTGAGGCCTCCTCTCCCTATCCCCATGGCCTCTGGCTCCCCTCCTCCGGCACCAGCACGAGCTATCAAAATCAAAAAAAGTTAATGGAAATTCATAGTAGAAAAAAAGCTATGCATGGATTTCTAAGAATTTCTGTGCCAAAGCTCATTAACTTACTATATCCTACCTGAACATTTTGCATTTTGAGACAAAAGCAGAACAAGACATCAGTTTGGAAAGAGCCCTCATCAGAATAACATAGATGCTGCACTAACTGAAGGTGACACCATGATGCTACAGGAGAAATGTATGGGGACAAAGTCCCAGAGAAATCAGCTGTTTACAAATGAGAAATGCTGATGACGGGGTATATAGTAGCAGACTACTCTCAATCAAGTACAAGAAAAAACTCACCGTTTGTATTTGACTTCAACAGGACCAACAATTACCAGCAGAAAACAACATCCAATAGACATCTCAGTCAAGCTTACACAATGCTGACATAAAAACTAATACAGGACAAATTTCCTTCTCTCTCAATGCCAAAATTGTTGCGCCCAGATCAGCGGCAGACAAGAATACAGCTTTTATTTTCTTCTGACAGTACTTGAAGGGCGTCACAGGTGGTGGCTTAACAGACACACCACCACAAAGCTAGCCTCAAGAACACCGCTTTCAATGGGAAAACAAATTTTTTTAAAGATTTACTTATTTGAAAGTCAGCATTACAGAAAAAGAGGGAGAGAGAAGTGGAAGAAGACAGACATCTTTCCTCCCCAGATGACCAGAGCTGAGCCAGGCAAACACAGGAGTCAGGAACTTCAACTGTGTCTTCCAAATGGGTGGGGGCTCAAAGTGTATTCGTGGGACACACTTTGCTGCTTTCCCCAGGCCATTAGCAGGGAGTCAGATTTTAAATGCAACAGCTAGAACTCAAACAAGTGCCCATATGGGATGCCAGTATCACAGACAGTGGCTTCATCTATTATACCACAATGTCAGAACCTAGTAGAAATTATTTAAGGATTTATTTTTATTGGAAAGGCATATTTACATAAATAAATACAAAGAGAAAGATCCTCTACCAGCTGGTTCGCTTGCAAGCGGCCGCAACAGCTGGAGCTAAGCCAATCCGAGGCCAGGAGTCAGGAGCCTCTTTCAGGTCTCCCACAAGGGTGCAGGGTCCCAAGGTCCTGGGCTGTCTTCCACTGTTTTCCCAGGTTACAAGCAGGAAACTGCATGGGAAGTAGAGCAGCTGGGACCTGAATTAGCACCCATATGGGATGCTGACACATGTAAGGTGAGGACTTACTCACTGAGTTTTTGTATTGGGCCCTATTAAAAATTTTAAACGACTGGAATCAGGCTGGGGAGGGCTACAACACTATTTGGCTTGCATGTAGCTGGGTTAGGGAGAAAGCCAGGCTCATTGGGCTTTGCTGCAGCATCAGCTGGCAAGCACTGGGAATGGAAGCAAGTCCTTCAAACTAGACCACAGAACCACTTGGAAAGCATAAGATTTGGCGCTGGGAGTATGCCAAGTAGGGAAACTCTAGGCACCTCTCTGGTGGGCTGCAACTCCCACTGGTGAACATGAAAATCATGGCTGGGGCAGGCCTGGCTGGACAGGTGGTGGCAGCTGCCAGCACATGTGTGGGCTGAATGGTGGGGGTCAGTTGGTTTGAGCTAGGATCCAATGCCCATTGATGTGTACAAGAGCCAAATGGGATGCAGGACAGACTGGACCAATCTGCTACACATACAGACATACGCAGAAACCAAGGCTGGGGGTGGGCCTGGCAGGGGTTGTTGGGGGTTGCTCTGACTAGGCTGCAGTTTCTGCTGGTGCACTTGAGGGCCAAGTGTGTGGTGGGCAGGGATGGGCAGGGCCACAGCATTCATTGGTTTGTGTATGAGATGGGGCTGAGGACAAAACTGATCAGGTAATTGCAACCACCAGTATGTGTGTAGGCTGATGTGGGTGATGGATTAAGCCGGACTCTGCACTGGTTGGGCACAGATGAGTCAGGTTGAGGTCACTTTGGTGAGATTTTTTGGAGAATCCCCCCCCCCCCCAACTGGAACACTGGGCTCAGAACTGCAACTATGGTGAAAATCACAGGAACTATGGTCTGACCATGGAGTGCATGTGTCAGAACTAGGTATTTTCAGTTGCTGAAGATGGTGCAGCTGAAGGCATGCCCATAACAACCAATTCATTGAGGCCTGCAGAGGACACCTAGTACCATAGAGGGCAGAACAAATTGGACAGCTCTCTCGGACAAGTATCTGGGCAAATCTAGACTCTAAAGTGGACTATGTCAGCCAATGGACCTTGGATAGATTTCCTTGACCCTAAAGCTACAAAATCAACAGCATCTCAAAACTATCAAAACCACTTGAGACAGTATCCTCAGAACATGCTCCACATTGGGGACCTTGGAACGCACCGGGTGGCCTTCCCCTATTCCTGGGTACTGATGTGGTTGGGCTGCTGGAAGCGGCCCTCTCTCCTTATCTCTCCACTTTGCCGAGATACCAGAAGAAAAGAGATTGGAGGCTAGCTCTTGACCAATCCACGTTCACTTTCACTTATTATTTTTTATCATTTTATTTTTGATGATGTTTCCATAGTTGAGAGGAATGTATGCCCATGTGGATCACCAATTAGGGTGGGAGAGTCGAGGAATGGGGGAAAGTGAATGAGATATCTGCCTCCAATCTCTTTCCAAGGTCCATTGGCTGACATAGTCCACCGTGGCTGCAGTTCTGAGCCCAGTGTTCTAGTTGGATGTAAGGCCTTTCTGTCTCTCCTTCACAAAAATAAATGAATCTTTTAAAAAAGAAGAGAAGAGAAGAGAAAAGAAAAAAAAATTAAGAGTTGCATACAGTCAGCACCCTTGCACAAAGGAGGAGGGGGTCTCTTATTTGCAAAGACTAAGATTCTCCACAGACAAAAGACACACCCCTGTCACCTAAGTGACTGCTTAACAACAACAACAAAACAAACAAAAACCCAGTATGTCAGGGAGCCAAGGGTTGTGGTGCAGCAGTCAACTGCCACCACAAGGCCAGCATCCCGTGCCAGAGTACTGGCTTGAATCCTGGCTGCTCTGCTTAATGGACCTGGGAAAGCAGCTGGAGGTGACCCAAGTACTTGGACCCGTGTCACCTATGTGGGACTCAGATAAAATTCCAGGATCCTGGCCTCAGACTGGACCTTGCCTGGCCACTGTGGTCACATGGGGGAATGAACTAGAGGATGGGAGATCTTTTTTTAATCTTTCCTCTCCCTTTGTCACTCTGCATTTAAAATAAATATACATCTTTTTATTTTTATTTTTATTTTGTTTTATTTTTTTTTTTATTATTTTTTTCATTGGAAAGGCGGATATACAGAGAGGAGAGACAGAGAGGAAGATCTTCCGTCCGATGATTCACTCCCCAAGTGAGCGCAACGGGCCGATACTATGCCGATCCGAAGCCAGGAGCCTCTTCCGGGTCTCCCACGCGGGTGCAGGTTCCCAAAGCTTTGGGCTGTCCTCGACTGCTTTCCCGGGCCACAGGCAGGGAGCTGGAAGGGAAGCGGGGCTGCCGGGATTAGAACCGGCGCCCATATGGGATCCCGGGCGTGCAGGGCGAGGACCTTTAACCACTTGCACCACCGTGCCGGGCCCAATATACATCTTTTTAAAAAAAGCTTGGCAGTGCCAGGGTTCTTGCTCCCGTCTGCTGCAACCTTGACCTTGACAGCAGATTCTAGGCCCTTGGCCCCATGGGAATTACAGCTTCCAAACTAGGCATGGCGCCAATCTAAGTCTCTAAGGGACCAGACTGTAAGAGTGCCCTGCCAACCTTGCCAAGAAACTGACCCTGCAAATTCCCTTCTGTGACCTATGCTCTCCCCAGGAGCAAGGGAGCTGTCTCCCACAGCTGCTTAGAGTGACATTTGTGGGCCCATTTCAGCAAGGGGAGGGGCCAGGGCATCCAGCAACAGCTCACATCTGCATCTGTACCCACCTCTTTGGAAAAGGCCACAGGGAGGAGCAGGGATGCTATAATCCTGAAGCAGGGAAGGAATGGTCCCTTTTCCCCAACCCCCACAACACTGCAATATTCTCTCTGTAAACTGATCCATGAAGTGCTATTAACTCATTAAACTAACTGCCTCTTAAGTTATCAAAGTACCTGGGAGAAAAAGCAGAGGATGTGGACTCACTTAAGGGATGTAGCTTCAGGCACTGGCAAAATACACTACCCTAAAGCTTTCCTTTAATAGCAAGGGGAAGGGAAGGTCCACTTGCTGGACAGGTCCTCTGTGGAAAGTAGCAGACAAACTCTTGTAAAGACTCTCTCAGAATCCAGACTGAGTACATCTCTTCCTTCCTAATGACAGGGGGATGGAGGATTCCAAAGGCGAGGGGCTCTTCCTCCAGAGGAAGGGAAGGTTGGCTTCCTGTTCGTGTAAACTTCAAGAGACAGCGGGTGACAGTCTCTGCCATTATGTGGGTGACCTGGCTCCTGCTGCAAGCATTTAGGGAGTAAATCAGCATGTGGAAAATCATTTCTCTGATTTTAGAAAATTTTACAAAGAGCATCCTAGTCATCCTGTTTAGGAAAAGTACCTAACCCCAGATTGAGCATCCATTTGAAGCAGAGGGGATTCCTGCCTGCAAGCTCAGAAACGCCCTGTCACTGTGGGTCAAACATCACTGTGCTCTGTGCTCAGCTGGCAGGGACTTGCTGCATCGACTGCTCGAGATGCAGGCGGCCTGTAGCAAGGTATAACCCTGGGGAGCAAGTGCTGAGTAAAGGCGTCTGTCTGCAGCTGCGCCTCAGCCTGCCTCTCCCTCCCCCTCTCCCCAGGCAGACTCCTCCTTTGCCTTAATCTTTTCTTCCTGCGTCACTAACACAAAATGGAGTTAGCTGGAAGCAAAAGCCATCTGTCTAAAATGGCTGAATGCAGTAGGGAGTGCCAGGTACCAAAGCAAAGGGAAAGGGCGCCCCCTGCCGTCTCATGGGGGGGGGGACCCTGTTTCTCCTTTTTTGTTGTTAAAAGAATTCAAGTCAATTTTTGTTTGATTTCTGCTAGCTTTGTTGGGCTTTAAAATTCAGAGAATATAAAAAGGAAAAATACTTTGTGTCTGAAGAGAACAGAGTAGAAGACACAGGTCAGCAGCCCAGTCCCAGTTAATACTTGCTTGTGATTAGTAACAGTTTCTAAGAACACCAGAGCGGAAGGGAGGGCCTTCTATAGCACACTAGCCCCCAACCTTAGTCATCAGCTCCAGCCTGGCAGTCCCACTGTTATAGCCACCACTTCCCCAGGAATTCCTGTGGAAGGCTTCCCTCAATGAAAACCACAAACAGGATATGGAGGAGTGGGGAGCTGCCTGACATCCTGGAAACTAAGTTCTTAAGAACTACAGGTGGGAATGAGTAAGCTGGGCAAGGAAGAGGACTTTGGAAAACCCCCAGGACACAGACCAGAACTGGTTATATCTGCAGGGCTGGGAGACTCAGGCTGAGATGTAAAGCAACTCGTCTAACCTTCATTTTCACTTACTCAGCACTGAAGCATTACTTGCTCTGCCCAAGGAAAAGCATGTGTCCTTATTCCACAGGCAACACCTTTCATAACCTCATGCCACGTCTCCCTGAGTAAGCCAAGTACCTGACAATAAAAACGCAGATGGGTAGAAAAACATTCACATCACTAACTGTTCCTACAGCTCAAGTAAAGTAGCAACAATGAGCCAGCGCCCTACGGTGGCACAAGGCTGCACACTTAACAAGGAGCACAGAGTCACAACAGGAAGTTAAAAAACAAGGTGCCTCTGGTACCACTAGAATGCAGGTCTGTGTCAGAAATGTGATCTCAGTCTCCTGGAGATAATTGAACAAAATGAACATTTAGTAACATTTCAGGGAAATAACATCAATGTTTCTGTGAGGTAACCTAGCGATGCTATCAAGTCCAGAAGCATACCATAAGCCATGTCTGTTAACTCTACATAAACCCTGCAATTCTGGGAAGCTCAGGTGGAACGGCTCTCATTTCTACTCCTGATGTCTGTAACACAAACAGGATACATTCATCGGTACCTGCAAGCTATGCACAGATACAGGCGCAGATATCAGAAAAGCCAGGCGACCCAATGATAGTTATCCCTGCCCACCGGGCTCACTGATCTCTTGTCTACGATACGTGGGTATGTGCAATCCATCAAATATTGCTGGACTAGACTACTGCGGAATGAAAGCTTTAAGGAGGGACAGGGCAAACTGGCAAGAGATGCTTAAAACTGAAGAGCAAGAACAAAGCTACAGCAGAATCCCAAAGCTACAAGATCCAAGCAAAAAGGGTTAGCAGAAAGTGGCATTAAAAGTGTTGGAGCGTATGCCCCACGTCGGGGACCTGAGATGAGTGGGAGCCTGAGTGGGGCTTCTCCCTTTATCTCCCCCTTACCCCAGATACAGAGAGAGAGAGAGAGAGAGAAAAAAAGAGAGAGAGAGAGAATGTGGAACAACGGTCTTACCCCCCTCAAATAAAAATAAATAAAAGTGTGGGAGCCTGACATGGCATCTGGTCATTCAGACACACAGTCACGAGTTTCAATCACTTTCCCAGCACACCCAGGAAGGTGACTCAGGGAGTGTGCGAAGAGCAGATCTGAGTTGTGGGTGAGTAGGCGAGAGGCACTGCCTCAAGCAAGCACCAAGGTGTGTCTGCAGAGGGACATGGCAGGTTTCTGCCAGAGAACAGCAGACTCCAGGGCAGGAGGAAAGCTCTCAAGGTAAGGGGCTGTTACCAAAACTGTTCCTCTCTTAAAGAATGGTTTATTATGAGAAATAGACATGCAAAAACAGAGTAAGATCAGAGATCCCCACATTCCCATCACATAGCTACATTAATTGTTGGCTCACAGCCAATTCTATTTCCCTGCATTCCTACTCCCTCCTAAATCCCAAACACCGTACAAGCTATAATTATTTCAGTATGCATTTCTCAAAGTGGTTTTTTTTTTTCATTTTAATCTTATAACACTATTATCACACCAGTTTCTAGCTGTCTCAAATGTCACCTTTTTAGTTTGCTTGAAAATCATGATCAAAATAGTGGCCAGCACAGGCTGGCATGTTTTTAAAATCCTCTTATCAGTTTGCTCCCCTCTATCTCAGCCTCCCTGTGTGCAATGCGTTGGTGAAATCAGGACACTGCTCACGGGGGAGAAGCAAGGGGCGCTGGCCCAGGGCCACAACAGCCTTGAGGGGCAGGCATCCCAGCTTCTGCTGACCAGGCTGCCTGCCTGCCTGCCACTCCCTTTCACCAAGCACTGGAATCAGCCTCACAGCTCAAATTCTACTTTGGTTTAAATTTACTAAGATCCTCACAAGCAAAGACTGTGTATTTTCTATGTCTTGGTGATAAAGCACAGCAAATACCTATTAGATATTATATAAATATCTGATAATTAGAAATAATAAACTATCATATATCTGACATTAAACAGATTCATAAAGAAAAGGCACTGCAAGGGTTATAATTTTTTAGGTCCTCCAGAGCAATTTTTTTTCTCAATTCTCCAGAACAATTTTCATCTCTGCCATCTCACCCCTAATATTCCTAACTAGATATCACATAAAGTGTAGACCTCTAAGCCATTTTCTGTAATAAGGGATTCCAGAAATATCCTCCATTTGGCTCAGGGTTGAGGGGAACAGGGCAAGAGTGTAACAAACAGACCAGACGGAATAAACACCCAGCCCCCAGCCTGGGTCTGCAGCGGCAGCTGCTGCTTTTTGTCATACTGCTGTTTTTTTCCCTTCTTTGTTCCTGAGGTGGAAGCCAGGAAAGGGTGGGGAAAAAGAAGGGGGAGAAGGGGTGGGGATGGGGAGGCCGTCATCACTGTTACTGAAAGTCACCTGATCTTCTCCTCCAATCCCTGGTCTCTGACCTCACAATGTGGAACCTGAGCCAAAGCAGCTCAACTGCGCTCACTCCGTGGCTGAAAAGAAAAATGCAAGCAGAACAGAGAAAAAGCATTTTTCTTAAAATGATTTTTGCAGTTTTTTTTTCCTTGCCAAAAGGCATGTATGTAAACACACACACACACACCTGATCATTTAACAGATCAAAAGAAATCACTCATTCCCAGAGTTGTGCTTACTGTAGGTTCAGAAAGCGAGGATTATTCCAACCCATCCTGCAGAAGCAGGGTTACCAATGCCCCTTCTCTTACACAAACGGGGTTTCCTTGCCCAAAGGAGCTTAGGGGAGGGGGAAAAAAAACCAACCAAGAGCCTTTTGTAGAGGAATCTGATTTTTAAAAGAGAAATTCATTCTTAAAACAGGTGGCCATCAGCATGTAAAGCAAAAGTAAAAGACACAGGTGTCTGTTCTCTAGAAGTGGATACTAGAATTTGCTTTGCAGGTAAGTCCAAGTACTTCGAGAAACCTCTCCTCCAAGCAGCCTAGACACTGACAAATTTATTCTTAAACTCTTGTCTGTGCTCTAATAAAAATAATAAAACCACACAATATTCAAGGAAAATACCTAGCATCGTACAAAATGTTACAGTATCCTAATATTCCCTTCTAATACTTTATTCCTATGTGTTTTTCTCAAACACAATTTGCTTTCTATTTTATCCATGTATTTTTTTTATTTATTAATGCACATTCAGTGAAAAATTAGAATTTTCTTTAAAACTACAAATAACAGGTGCAGGCAAAGCAGAGAAGAGCTGGTAAAAGGGAAGAGGGCAGAATCTACATTAGTATTAGCTTACAACTGCCTTTTAAAAAATGAAAGGGTGATCAAGGAACTAATTAAGAAAAAAACAGTCTCAGGGTAGGAGAGGAAGAAGGATGGGGTGGTCAAATACTACCTTAAGATGGGGTTTTAAAATATACTGTCTTGAATTCTGAACTCTGTTATCTACAGAGAAAAAAATCAAAAGAGAGGAAAGGCCTCAGAGGAAAGCCTGTGATGGAGACCCCACAAAACTCCCCATCAGGAAGCCCCTCTACAGCAGCAGGAAAACAGGTGCAAGTCTCAAAGTACAGGAGCTGACCAAGGGGTCCCGAGGACCAGCGGCTCTGGGCTCCAGGACAGGGCAAAGGCACACTGCGCCATTCTTCCACAGGTCTGGAAGCCTAGTGCTCCAACACCTCCTGCAGGTTCATTCTTCCCCTGGACACACCTCTGACCTCCATTTCCAAGGCTCCAAGGCAACAGAATAACTGAACCAGTTCTATCTGTTTGGCAGTAGCACTTTGTCTCCAGATCTCCGGCTCATCATCCCTGTGGTGCGCCTCGACCTAGTACAATACTCAGCCCTCAGTTTCCCCTTCCCAGCCAACCCAGCCTCTAGGTCGTCCTTCACTGTCCCACAATCCTTCTTTAAACCAGCCTTCTAAGCTGCCCACTAAAACCTGGCTGAGAAGATAACAAGAAAAGGGTTTTGTAAGAACGAGTGTCTAAACTATCAGCAGTCAGCTGAAAAGGCTGAGTCGCTTCCTCATCATGAGTACTTCTAACTGCACCTCCTCACACAGACACCAACATATTATGGGGAGAGAAAGCAGAGAGCAGTGTCTAGGCTCCATAGCGTGGCAGGGCAGAAAACAGAAGACACACAGTGAATCAACAGCTCCAGCTAGCATACCTGACAAAATTACAAGGGGTGCTTGCTACTAAGGTGCCCTTCTAGAGTCCTCATTACTTACACTCTGTGGAGATATTTACACCTTTATCATGTTACCCACGCACAGGCATGTATACTAAAGGCTGGGAATTACTGGAACAGACATTAAAGCGCGCATCCCCATCTGCTTCTGCCTGCACCAAGACAACAAAAGTCTGGTTAATGCTGATCCCCACACTAGATGCTCTAAATGTCTTTTTTTTTTTCTAAAGATTTATTTTTATTATTTTTTCATTGGAAAGGCGGATATACAGAGAGGAGAGACAGAGAGGAAGATCTTCCGTCCGATGATTCACTCCCCAAGTGAGCGCAACGGGCCGATACTATGCCGATCCGAAGCCAGGAGCCTCTTCTGGGTCTCCCACGCGGGTGCAGGTTCCCAAAGCTTTGGGCCGTCCTCGACTGCTTTCCCAGGCCACAAGCAGGGAGCTGGAAGGGAAGCGGGGCTGCCGGGATTAGAACCGGCGCCCATATGGGATCCCGGGGGTGCAAGGCGAGGACCTTTAACCACTTGCGCCACCGCGCCGGGCCCTCTAAATGTCTTTTTAAATGGGGCTGGCACTGTGGAATAGTTAAATCTCCATTTGCCACATTAGCATTTCATTTGGGCGCTGGTTTGTGTTTCCGTTGCTCTACTTCTGAACCAGCTCCCTGCTTGCTCTGATCCAGCCTAGGAAAGCAGCAGAGGATGGCCCAAGGTCATGAGGGAAACCCAGAAGAAGTTCCTGGCTTTGGACCAGCCCAGCTCCAGCTGATGTGAACATCTTGAGAGTGAAGCAGCAGAGGGAAGGTCTCTGTCTTCTCTCTTTCTCTGTAATCATGGCTTTCAAACAAAAATAAATCTTTTTTTTTTTAAATGATATCATGGACCCAG